CCAGAGTAGCCCACCCTACTGTCTAAAATCTAAATAGTAGTAGCAGTAATAATTGCATCAGGAATTATTGAAACTCGATGCTCTTTCCGGCCATGGTCACGGGGACCATTAATTTTGTTCGATTTATTAAAAATGTCAAACTTTTTTACTAATTTGATTATTAAAAATAATTATTATATATAACAAAATAGTAGAGCTTTTTCTATTTAAGAAGAAGAAGGTTGGTCGGACTAATGACCTATAGTTTAATGTAAGTTTTTTTTATTATGGTAAAGGTTTGATCTCTTCTTTGAATCATTTGTTCTAATAAAAAAATTTCTTTTTTATTTAATAACTTTTAATAATTTTAGTTGACTTCTATGTAACATGGGCCACACATATGAGAGGATTTAATAGGTATTTTTTAATTTATTCTTCGAAGAGAGCATATACAATGCAATACATGATATCACAAAAAATCACTACCTCCGGGTAGATGATATTTCAAGAAAATTACCATTACCAGGCACTATCACCATACACACTATAAATGACCTACTTTGGCAATCCCAATTATTTTTGCTTTGTAAGTTTTCATGAGAATTTATAAATGCTCATAATCTATATATTATATAAAGTGTTCCCAAAGCAATAATTAGGGATTAAATTGTCATTTGGTTGAAATTGTATAATTTTATATGTATCTATCTATTCATATCTGTATTTGTAGCTATTTATCTATATCTTTATATATATATTACATAATAAAATGTAACCTAATTCTACATTAATTAAACACTAATTTTTTTCATTTTATTTTAATTATCAAAAAATAAATTTTAGAAAATAAAAAATATATTATTTTTACATAAAAACATAATAAATGCGACTAATAATTTAGTTTAACTTCTTAGTTTCTTCAATTTCTTATCTTCCTCTTAATTATCATCATCATCATCTATGATTATTACTTTTAGTTACATACAATGTATTAAAGTAAATGTAAAAGAATAGAAACCCAATATTTATGAAGAATAATAACAAATTATAGGGTCGCAATGTATAGTAGTTATTTGTGCAAAATTAAAAACCTTAAATGATCTAAATTTACTTTTACCATTTTCTAAATTTATGAGATTTTTCTTTTTATCTTTCTTTTACATAAAAAAATCTTTTGTCACTATTTTAAAGGAAAATAAATTTAAGAGAGCATGAAAACCTCATGAATATACAAAAATTCATTTATGATTTATCATAGTTAATAATGAAAGATCAAGAGGCACATAATTTATAATGTAATACATTAATGATAATTATTTTATTATTTCAACATTAATTTCAAAAATAATGATAAAAAGAAAAATTAAAATAATTTACTAACAATTTAAATATGGTTTATCTCTATAATTGCATGAGGTGATATGCAAGGGATTTAAGTGAACTTAAAGATTAAAGATGAAAGTACTATTATTATTTTATATTACTATTATTGTTCAACTCAAAAATAAGAGTGCAAGCAAATATGAAATACAAAAGCTTTGAATGTATACAAATTCCTTAATGAAAAATGTAATTTCAATTGTAACTATTATATCATGATTTGCAGTCAAGATGAAAAGGCAATATGATATAAATGACAATTATTGTTTTATTACAACATTAACTATCAATAACATAAAAGACTAAGACTTCAAATCTTATTAAAATAATAAGGATTTTTATCACTAAAAAAGTTGCATTAGCTAGGATGAACCACTAAAAATTTCGGAAAAAGCAAAGATAAAATGAAAATGATAAAATTGAATGTTATAAAATTGAAATAATTTAAACCTTAATCATTTGAAAGAGTTTTAAAACTCTAATTTATGATATATGAGAGCCCATTCTTTAAAACTGGACTACCCAATAAGTATAGTTTAGGTTGTAAAAATTCAAAATTACCTTAAGGCAAAAAACATATTTTGGTGCAAAATGAATTTTAAAACATATTTTCTAATACATAATGCAAAAAACTCTATATTTTTGTCTTCTAATCTAGTTAACAAATGTGATTTACATTTCTTTAAAATAACTTTATCATAAAAATAATTATAAAAGAAAATCACATAATATAGATATAAAATAAAATATATATATATATATATAAATGAAAATTGTAAATAATAATGAAAGTGGCAGATGAAAAGACAAATGAATGAAAATTGTAAGTGATAAAAACAATTAATAAATTAATGTGGTAAATGAAGAGACAAAATTAGTTTAACATGAAAGATCAAAATCTAAATATTTGAAAACTCCTAAATAAAGAAAATGAAGAGTGCATGTCTAAATATTTAAAAATTGAAGAGTTAAGAAAATGAAGATTCAAGTGCCACATATTTAAACTCATTCTTAATTTCCCCTATCCTCCTTAGTACATTCTTCTGATCTTAAGTGAGTTTGGGTTTTTTTTTTTTTTTTTAATTCTTTATAACAATATTTAAATGTTTTGTTTGAAAGATTTTTTATAATACACCATCATTGTATATTTAGACATTAACTCTTTTGATTATAAGTGACTTTAAGGTTATTACAAAATGTTGTTGTGCTTCCACCTATGGTTTTGACTGTTTTTTCTCTTAACTTTTAGAGTTTGACGGATAAATATTAATCTCTTAATATAATATTGTGAATAAAATAAAAATTAAGGATTAAAATCTTAAAATAAAAAGTTTGTGGCTTACTACATCAATTAAGAAAGTTGAGGCATACGCAGTGGCAGAGGGAGGGCGCCCCTGAAATTTGAAAATTTTTGTAAATTAATATATAAAAAAACTATTTAACTCTTTTAAAATTTAAAAATTTTATAAATTAATATATAAAAAATTATGTTATTCCCCTAAAAAAAATTTTTGACTCCGCCGCTGGGCATACGGGTCGGTAGAAAACAGTGTTGCGTTTCCACCATTTTCAAACGCAACACCTTTTTTTTCAACTTTCCTTATTGGGTTGGTACAAAATGCTGTTGCGTTCTATCATTTAGTTTTGACTGTTTTTCTTCTTAATCTTTGGAGTTTGACTTATAAACACTAATTTTTAATATAATATTATGAATAAAATAAAAATTAAGGATTAAAATCCTAAAATAAAAAGTATGTGGCTTAGTACATCAATTAAATTTTTATTAGAGAGAAAATTTAAAAAGATTTGTTTGATATAATTTGTTGAAACTTTTATTTTTTTGTATTGTTTATATTATTTATGAGTGATAAATTTAAATTTTTATTGAAAAAAAATTTAAAAATAACTTTTAAATATAAGAAAAAGTGAATAAAAAGTTAGTAAAAAGAGAGATTGTGAAAAGTTTGGATTTAAAAATTTTAAATTTTTATTGTTTAAAATTTTTTAAGGTTAAAAAATATTTTAAAAATATAAATTAAAAAAATTAACGTATGAAATATAAATTAAAAAAATTAACGTATGAAATATAAATAGTAATAAAAAAAACTAAGCTAGATCTAACTAGTGGAGACACAGGGTTGGTAGAAAACAGTGTTGCGTTTCCACCAATTTTAAAATGCGACACCTTTTTTTGACTTTCCTCATTGGGTTGGTACAAAATGCTGTTTCGTTTCCACCTTTAATTTTTAACTTTCTTAATTGGATTAATTCATCGATTAATAAAGTTTGGACATATATCATATATAGGATGGCGATAGGCATTCAATTGGATAGACATCACTGGGCCAAAGTACTTAACTCTATTAAGTTTGGTCGTAATCTTTATTAAAGTGAGGTGGTTGGTTAGCTTCCAAGTTCCACATAAGATGCATGTTTTTAACAGGATTGCGCAGCAAAGCAAAGCAAGGCAAAACTGATAGGCAAGAGTGGTCTTTCATAGCCCAAATTTATTCTTTGTTACCATATAATATATAAATAATTATTGTTGTATTATTTCAATATTAATTTCAAAAATAATGATAAGAAAAAACTAAAACAATTTATTAACAATTTAAATATAATTTATCTCTATATTAATGCATAATTAATAATGAAAAATCAAGAGGCACGTAATTAAAAATATAATATATAAATGATAATTGTTGTATTATTT